ACCAGTCATCGACAGAGTAATGTTTGTGGATTGCAGTGAAGAGAGTGAACTGGAGGGCACAGATAAAGATGAAAATAAAGTCAATTAATTCACATTTATTTACCTATTTACCAGAAGCTTATTTCTATTATCCATTATTCAAAATGGGAAGTACAAGTAATTGTTTCCTCACAGCTTCAATAAAGGTTTCTCAACCACCTGATGTGGTACAAATAACAGAGAAGAAGGTAAATACGATATGGGGTTCAAATACTAATCAACCTCGTGCAGAGCCTGGGCCATCTCGAAGGTCCCCACGGTGTCCATGTTGGCGGCGATGATGGGAATCCCTCTGTAGCTGCCCTTGGAGTTCCTGAAAGTGAAGCTCCTCAACAGGTCCACCTCGAGAGGAGAACGCAACAAGACGTTGTCAATATGTTTCACGAACACATTATTGGTGAAAGAATTAGGAAATATTTTAGTCGTCACTGCTAAAGAAGCAGTTAATTTAAAAATTCACGTCACTTTTAATGATGAAATAAAGTTTTGGCGTGATCGGGTGAATAACCCGTAACTTTTCAGAATCCACTGGATGGGACATTTCATTAAGACATGGTGGTTCAGTCCAGTGAACAGGTTGGGAAAGGAAAGCAGCTGCACAGATTGGCAGCTCAAGTGAGAGAATTTGTTGGCATGAAAACTATTAGCCACACTCTCCACAAATCTGATCTTTTTTTCACTGAAGAGAGGGGAGACTGGTAAACATTTGTCAAATGAATCCTTTTGTGTGGTTCACTACAAACCCGTAGATGAAGACGTTTTGGTCTGATGAGAAAAGTATTGAACTTGAATAGACAAAAGTCAATCTGTGGTGGAAAAATAACAGTGAACATCCCTCTGAACGATAAGTGAAAAACGTGGCGGTGGTGGCAGCATCATGCTGTGGGGAAGTTTGTCTTGCAGGAACAATGCAAGCTGTTTAAGGTTGACGGCTTTCATCGCCAAGTACAAATAGTTAGAAACGCATCCAGCCGTGTTGCTTTGTTTTGGCCCGTGTAACAGAGACCACATTTGGACTCGACCCACCTCACTCCTGGACTTGAGCGTGCTCCGTTTGGGCCGGAGAAGAACATCCTTGAAGTCCAGCTTGATGTCATTTTCAATGCGAGGCATGGCGGACAAACGGGATGCAGGTGAACGATGAAAGCAGGAGACTCTGAAAGAGACAGAGATCGGCTGTCAAGACAGAGTCGCGGTTTTTCCTCTCTCTCTGATTTCCTACCCATCTTCTCCGTCATTCAGCTTCACACATTCACACATTTATTTAATTATCCACAAACATAAGAGATAAACGTAGTTTCTTTTGGGGGGGAAAGAGAGAGAGAGTTTTGTAGCACGCATCTAAAGCGTGCTAGCTGGTTCCACATGTCAGCGCGTGCAGAAAGCGCTTGTCAAAATCCAAGGTTGCGTCAGTGTTACACCCTCACAGCTCGCGCTACTTTATCAGGACAAACGGCGGCTGCATAAGAACAGGGTGGATGTTACAACAACACAATGCGACACGTTTAGTAGAAGAAAGCGTTTACCGTTAGAAAAGTCAGACGGGAGGTTGTAAAAGTCTGTACCACCTCCCCACTTCCTCTCGCCGCTGTCAGGGAGGTTTTACAGCGACGGACACAGGGCGCTCTGCCGTGCTGTAGTTTTTAGACGGCGTCCTCTCGAAGGCTACAGCCGGGTAAGGACTACAAACGCGACAGTCGCTTTACGTCCCGCTGCGCTGCTGTCGTAAATGCGTCTTAAGGCAGTTAGGAAACAAATCTCATGTTTGCCTCTCTCTCTAGGGTATTTGCGTGAATGCTAGCGACTTATGTGCAGATATCTTTGCAGCCGTGTTGATTTATCTATTTGTTATAAAACAAATCAAGCGAATAGTAAGTGAACCGGAACAGTGTTGCTGTCTTGAGCGGTGGCGGGGGATTTAATAAAAAAACACAGGAAACCACCACTGCATTTCTAGAACAATTATTCTCCGACATAGAAGCTGAAAAATCGTTTTTTATTTACAGCCACAGCAGGTTAAATAATAAATTCTGTCAGCAGTCTGCTCGTTAAATTATTCCATTTGTGCATATTTATTTTTTTAAAAAAATCATCCAATAAAGATGTTGATCAAAGTGAAGGTGAGTAACATGAAACAATGATTGCTGTGTTTGGCTAATGTGTTGTGGCAGTGAGTCATAATCTGCTTATCTCTAACCTTATAAAGTGTTTTTTTTCTCATCGCAGACTCTCACTGGCAAGGAGATCGAGATTGACATAGAGCCCACAGATAAGGTATATGATGGCATTTTACATCTTCATTTGGACTTTGATCAGACCTGATGTGTTTTCAGGCTCCCGTCTCTGTTTGACTGCAATGTGTTCCATTGCAGGTGGAGCGAATTAAAGAAAGAGTGGAGGAGAAAGAGGGGATCCCTCCCCAGCAACAGAGGCTGATCTACAGTGGAAAACAGATGTAAGATTGTCTTTTTTCTCTCAGTGAGCAGTAATTTTAGTAAACTACTGTCATATTTTTGCAAACTCAACAATTTCATTTAAAGAAAAAAAAGAGTTGTATTTATCTTTTTAGTTGATAGTGAGCTGGGTTTGTGTGTGTGTGTGTGTGTGTGTGTGTGTGTGTGTGTGTGTGTGTGTGTGTGTGTGTGTGTGTGTGTGTGTGTGTGTGTGTGTGTGTAAATCATGTAAAACATTGTCAATAACAAAATAATTTAGCATTAATTGTGCGCCCCAAAATGACACGCATATTACATTAGCAGCACCAGTTGATTATGTTATTAATTCAAGCATTAACAATTAGATTTGAAAGCTTCCTTCATTTCATAAATTTTTTTTAAGTTAAGGTTAAAAAGCAAAAAAACTATAATCAATCATAACATTTTCCTTCTTGTGAAAATGTATGCTTCCTTACATTTCATTTAACATGAACGTTTCAGGTTAGCACTTTCCAGTTTTGAAGAAGCTCTTTTTGTGTCAGAAAAGTGTTTTAAAATGTCTTATCTAGCTTTAAGAAGATAATTGTGATTTGTTTTTATTGGCGCTGTTGTGAAGTGGGGCTTTTGAGGCCACCAGTAAAACTTATAGGAATTAAACGTAAACTTTTGGGGGACCTACAAGAAGTTGGCTTTGGTACGAACAAAACCCTTCTGAGGAGCTGGGCTTTGCAATTTTTCTGGGGGAAACCGTGTGGGAGAAAGAATATTGCAGCGTTTTGCTCTCAAAATGAAAACATTAAAGAAAGTTGCTGACATTCCTCCACAAAATCTGAACACATTAAGTTGAAGTATTTTAAATTTGTTGCCATTGGTTTAATAAAAGTACTTCTGCTGTCTTGATTTCTTATACAAGCTGTTTTTTTTTTTTTGCTGTTTCGTTCACGTTCAGGAACGACGAGAAAACGGCCGCAGACTACAAGATCCAGGGCGGCTCCGTCCTTCACCTGGTGCTCGCCCTCAGAGGAGGCTGCCCGCTCTGCTCCACGTTTTAACCTCTGGCTCAGCAGCAAGCTCAAACTGACACGACGCCTTCTAAAATCACAGCGCTACTGGAAGCGGTCGCACAATCACCCGGTGACACCGAAGGCACCGCAGAGTCACCGACTGAGTCGAACCAGTTTCTGCTTTCCATCTCCAGCTCCCGACAGCCTTTCGTGTGTTTTGTTGCCAAAGCCGTGTACGCAGATGATAAATTCTTTAGCTTTGGATTAACACGCAACTGATTAGCTATTAAGGAAAAACCTCTATTCAATCGTCTTTCTGTCACTGTGTGCAAGTAATGTTTGTGATGGAGCAGAGGATGTTTGCTACGCCTGAAATAAATGAGATGACTAATTTAAAGCTGGGGAAGGGATGTCAATCCTGGTTGAGATAGATTGCCACAAAGTATCGCACAGGGTTTGATTGAGCTCTTATGAAGCACTGATGTAGCAGAGTGTGAGAGGACGAGCTTTAATAACCAGACTACACAGGAACCATTGTTGGGTGTGGTTCAGCTTTTGTTTTTTGTCTTTATCCACTTTCAGACAATCTTATGCTTGCTTTGTCTTGTTCTGCTTCAGAACAAAAATACTCTACAAAAACACGTATTTTTCTCTTATAACGGAGAAAAGGGCAAGTAAAGAACATTGCGTGACAGATTGATTTAGCATGTTCATGGATAAGTTGAACTTGCTCCGATTCATGAAGACGTAGTACCTGTAATACCCTCCGCTTGTGTTCGGTGTCCTTTCAAACGTATCACTTTGTGAAATAAAACAGATTCTGTGAAGGCCTTGTGTTTTACTGTCCTGTGTTAAAACATTGGAGGATTTACAGAGAGTCTGGATCAGCCAGGTCCAGTCAGATGGAGCTGAGATGTAAGAAGCTGTTGAAAAGGTAGCCATTTTCTGTCATGTGACATGTGCCACATTGCTAAAAGTACAGGGTGATTACCTTCACAAATCATCTTGGGTCACATTTTGTTCTTAATCTATAGAGTTTAGTATGTTTGCTCACTTTTCACAACTATAACAACTTCAGTTTAGTTTGTTTTGGTACTTTTTAACCTTTCCATAAACGTAAAAAGAAGCATACAAACAAAGGCAAAGACAGTAAACAAGTCTGGTACAGAAATAGATAAAAATGAATTTACGGTCAATAGCAAGAACACAAAACGTAGCTCAGTATACCTTACATCTTTTTAACATACAAACAGCATTATCAAAATCAATTCCTGTATATTTTTCTAAAACACATTTCTGAGGAACTCCAGCTGAGTCTTCTTGTTCTCAGAAGCCTTAAGACTTAGGAGTGTGTTTACAGGAATGTTTGAAAAGTGCATCTGTGAGGTCAGACTCTGGTGTTGGCTCACTGTGTCAGCGTCAATTTGTGATCTGTACTGATGCGAAAGCATCAAACTAGAACTTGGAAATCGGCCACCTCATATGGACCTCTCTTGATCGAACACAAAGACATCAAAACATGGAGCCACTTGTGTATATTTTTTATTCTTGTCAAACATTGACCACTATTATGTACATTCTACATTTTAAGACGGAATATTCGAGAGACATTTTTCAGCATGGTAGCCAAGACTGCAAAAGTTAGAGAACTTTGCATCAGCATTGTAGGCACAGTGTAATAGGTTGTACTCGAAACAACAGATGGGCCTGTCTGTAGAAGCTGGTAGCTATTACACCACGCTGACACTTTGTGTTGCTTTAAGGAAGGCTGCAGCTTATCAGGGAGCAACGATCAACGTTACTCAGAGGTGAGAAGCAACAAGGTTTTGTCTTTGTGTTGCAGCTTGCACCATTCAGATTGTCTCAACAAGTAAAGTTGCAGCATTCGACTTTTTGAGCAAGGAATGTTTTCAGGCCTCGTTTCTGCATGAGATAATGTGTGGAGTCAAATCTGTTAACGAAACACAAGAAGATGAAGAGTATGTACTCCTTGTTTGATGTCTGAGTTTTTGGGTATTTAGCTTACACTGTAAAAACAAAGATTACTTTAAAAAAGCTGATACATTTTGCTGGAAAGTTACTTGTAAGTCAGTTTTGTCTAATTTCAAACGTACCAAGGTGTTTGCACTGGAAACTAGGAAAAAAATACCTGGTAATACGTTGTGTTTCTGCAGTGTTTGTGAAGGCAGTGTGATTATGAATGAAATCAAATTATGAGATTTGAAAATAGGTATGACTCTTTGTCTCCATCAATCTACAGATGCATTTAGATCAATAAGCTGATGCTTAAATAGAGGCTTAATGAAGAAGCAAAGTGACATATTTAAACCAAATAATAAGGTTGCCACAGCAATGTGGGCTCGTGATAAAGAAGTGAGCTTCAATTACAAGTCCAAACATCAGTCAGTGGTTTTTATTACTAAGGGACATCATGATAGAGTCTGTGACATTGTCATATGTTGTAAATGCACAATAACTGTACAGGTCAATGAAAATACACTGTTGTACTTGTAGGAGGCCAATCGCCCTACGACCCTTACAGTTTAACAAGATCAAATCATACACACGACTGACCGAACGTTTTGATTCCATCATCTCATTTTTCATTTTCTTTTAGCACTTTCCGTCTCTTTGTAGGATCAAAAATCTTAAAAAAAAAAAAAAAAAAACTCTGATCATAATTAAAGTGGATTAAATTCAGATGTGCTGAATCTTTTTTTTTTTTGGCAGTGTGTGTGGAGATGCCCTGAGTCAGAAAAAACCCCAGAATAATTAGTCTCTGTGTGTGCAGCGGTGTTGTTTCCTTCAAAATACAGCATACTGGATAAACGGAGAACTACGGGAGATCATTGGTGACGAGAATGCTTTGGGTTTTGCTGGAGTCTGAGGGAATATTGCACAAAAAGATTCCTGCAGCTAACTGAGCTGGAAAGGCAATAATTGCATGTAAAGCTCTCATTTGTGCACTGAAGGGAATTAAAACACAGATGTAAACGATAAAAAAAAACAAAAAAAAAAACACTTTCAGAGTGATTTGCACTTATGACTTCCTTTTTCTCTCTGCAGAAACATACAAACAATTTGCTTAGTGTCACTTTTACGTAGCAATTTTGATGAAAGGGGGGGAAAAAAGAAGCAACAGCGATCTTTCCACATCTGTCAAAACACAGCTACAATTGCAGTAAAGTGCACAATACCGTAATTCTGATTAAGGCAGGTTAATAAAATTTGTGCACTTTTTGCCGCCACAGCAACCAATTCCACATCGACTTTACAATCGAGATAAATCTGCAGTTGGAGGAATAAAAATGAGGTGAAATGAATGTTAGAGACACAGAATACCTAAAAAAAAAATTAAATTAAGTTTATATAGTAGAAAATGTTAAAGATGATTGAACAATAAGAATAATTTTAAGAGTGATATTAACAAATATAAAAAAAAGAGGCATCATTGAGTCACTTTAAAAAGAAACCATAAATTGAGTATCAAACAACACGATGTGATCAGAACCGGATCTTTTGAAGAATTCAGCTTCGTTGTGATGAATGTGACGTGAAGCGAAATTTACAAAGGTGACAAAGGATGAACCAAAAAGACAATCGTCCATGACAGTTCAGTAAGAGTCTCTGGAAATAATAACAAAAAAAAAAATGTGTCAAAATGTCGATGCTGATGTGAGGCCTGAGGAACCAGAAGGCGCTAACCCATCTTCTTTACACTTCTGATGGACCTCGGTCTCACCCGGCTGAGGTGTTGATATTTGGTATCGCTGATTAAAACGACACTTAGAGAAAAAGTGTTGATCAGTAAACAAACTGCGGTTTGTATCTGCACTTGTAGAGCGAACCCATGTTGATGTGTCTGTCTGCATTTCTCTTTTCTTTTCTTTTTTTTTTTTTAAGGGCCCAGCTAGAAATAACAATAAACCCCCCCAACAACTCGGATTCAACAGTACGCTGCTTTGTGGTTGTCTCCGTCCCCCATGGAGAGAGGAGACCTCGCCTCCTTCATCTCCTCCCCCTCCTTGTCGCCTCCGCTGCCGCCGCCACCGGTCTCGGCCGGGTAAACAACCACACACATCTTCTGGCCCAGGTACGTCATTTTGTCTGGAAGAAGACGAGCGAGAAGAAGATGAAGAGGCGATCAAGTGACAGTGATGCCTGTGTGGATGTAAAAGGCCTCACAGAGAGACGAGCCGAGCAAGAAGCTCTTTGTCTGCATTTCCTTCACATGTAACAATTCTGATTATGTTTCAGCACAACAGGACTCGACTGCAAGACTGACATTCTTTGTCTCTGAGTGCATTAGTAAACTGTGATAAGGATTTTGAAGCTTCCTTAACGAGTGGCCTTGAAGTTCATCTTGGTTTCAGTGAATAACGAGATTTTTATTTATTTATTTTTTCTCCAGCTTCAACCAGCATCTTTACTTTTGTTTATTGTCGTTCTCGGGTTGATTTCCACATTTCACACCAAATCCCATTCATCTTCAGGAAATCATTCCCATATTTGCCCATAATTTAAAATAACAGAGTAATAATGTGGCACCTGCAGGCGTCAGAAACAGCACTTTCGTAAATTGAATTTGAAGAAGGCAATAAAATTTCCACTTCCACTCTTTTCCATTCTGCCATTTAGCAAATAAAAATAATTTGGTTGGTTCAAACCGATCTGAAACAGGAAAGTTTAGTCTCGTCTAATGGAGAAAGATTCCTTGTGAAGATCTCACTTACCAACGAAGGTATCAAAGCACTGCGGTTTGTTCTCCCAGTAGACCCCCAGGAAGTAGACAGGAACTCCAGTGAGCATGATGGCGAGCCCGATGCTGCACACGACGGGCTCCGAGTACAAGGAGAAGATGAGCAGGAAGGCCCAGAAGACCAGGTAAATGACCGGCCATATCAGGCTGATCTGCAGGGAGGAAAATGTGGACATTTTTAAAATTCACTTAGAATACTCAATACTGTTGTATCCTCAAATCTGTGTTCAAATCTGATTTATTTTAACCAAAAAGTTGGTTAAAATAAGTTATTAAGTTATTTTTGAAAATCTTTGATTTCATTTTAAAACATTTTGAAACATTTTTGAGCTGAGGATAAATATAGTTTTTGTTTTAAATCACTGAGCGCCAATTTTTATGGCTACAGATTTTGTTTTGTTTCTGCTTTTTTGAGCCACAAATCTGGAACAAACTTCAGAGAATTGTAAAACAGCCGAAACATTGAGCACCTTTAAATCTGGACTAAAAACCCACCTGCTTAGAGCTGCTTTAGAAACATGTTAAATGAAACATTAATCAACATTATGAGGTGTTGACGACTGCGCTTGACAATTGTTGACTGTGTGTTCTTCTACTACTTAGTTTTTTTTTTTTTGAGTGTTTTTATGATGTTCAGCTCTTTGAACTGCATTGTTGCTGACTGATTGATTGATTTATTGATTCTAATCAAGTGTCAGATTATTGAGCAGATGTGACGAAGGCACTGCTTCAATCTAAACTGTCTGTCGTCTGAATTGTAGCTGCTCTGTTAATTTTCATTTATGGTATTTTTCCTTTTGATTGCTGTTGCTTTTTCATCTATGTGGGAACTTGAACAAAACATTGTTCTCATCCATTTTTAAAAAATATTTTCCACTTTCAAGGAACTACAGAATTTAAAACTAAATGAAGACAACCAGAAATTAGTGTCTCTGGTACAAGTTACATTCCATTGATGATGTTAATGTGCTATTAAAGAAAAAAGAAAAGAGATGATTTGTAGAAGTACAAAGGAATACAGAACAAGTGAACACACCTTGATTGGCCGGTGCATGTTGGGCTGTTTAATTCGCAGGACGATCTGCCCGGCGACAGCGACTCCATAAAAGAGGTAGTTGATGAAGCCCACATAGTTGATGAGGGTGTACATGTCACTGGTGCACAGCATGAGCAGAGTGGACAGGCACTGACAGAGCAGAGACGCATTAGTGTACTTGGTTTAGATTTTTTTTTTTTTGACCGGCTGTGTGATTAAGACAAATGTGGACATGGACCGGTGAGGAAGATGACGAGAGCGTGTACTCACAGTGAAGAGCAAAGCAGGGATGGGGGTGCAGCGTTTCACGTGGATCATGGCCAGAAGGCTTGGGAGGTGGCCCTCTCTGGCCCCGGCAAAGAACAACCTGCCACAAAGCAGAGGTGAACATCAGACACTCACCTCTGACCTCTACTGGAAGAAAATGTGACTTCAGAGGCCTCGGAAATAACAAGTATTATCGGTTTTGTAATACCAAATTACATTTTAAATGATTTCATTTAGTACTCCCTTATGTTTTTGAGCACAAAGCTCTAAGCTGGATTTAACTCCATACTTTCACTAGGCCACTCCAAATCTTCATTTTGTTTACTGTTACATCTTTGATTTGCTAAATTGAATTGTAACTGGGAGGCTTAAAAATAGCTTTTCCGCCCAGACGAATAGATGTCAGAGAGTTTTCTGATCTGGACTGGAATGTCAGTCGATCATGATGTCTTGTTCTTAGGACTGTACTTTGCTAAGTCTAGTTAAAATATGCAAACTGTGTTTAGAAATGCATTTGAGTGTGAATTCTTCATCAATAGAAATATGGACTCCAGACAGAACTACGTTCTTTGTATTTTTCCTAAACTTGTTGGTGTTAAAAAGATTTTGATCAAGAGAAGTTTCCAAACTTCTTCTTTGGTATCCGGCTGCATTTTTCTTTAATTTCTGCTCATTAACTTAACCATTACGTTGGCAGTATGTGCTTGGAATAAGCTGAACAAAAAGCCAAAGAAGCAAGACAAAACAGCAACGTTTTTGAACCACCTCAGAAGTAGCAGACGATAACCTTAATGATGGACCTCAAAACTTTAACAACGTGAACCCTGGAGGGGAAACAAACAGGTGGACTGACCGTGAGGACGTGAAGAGGGAACCGTTGACTCCTCCGAAGGTGGAGAGAGCCACAGAGATGGGCATGATCCACGACATGACTCCCAGCAGCTTCTCACCAAACGTCTGAGAGAGAGCAAGAGGAGAGAGGCTTACAGCCACCAATCTGACACGTGCAGCGACCAGCAAAACGTCACTAGAGGGCGACGGCGACTAAAATGAGCAAGTGCAGAATTGAGGCCCAGGACTCACCACAGCAACGGCGTTTGAGGCGAGCAGCTCCTGGGGACTCATGGCCGTGACGTAGGCGATGTTGGCAAAGACGTAAACGAAGGTCACGAGGGGGATGGAGATGAAGATGGCACGCGGGAGGTTCCTGGAGGAAACATGAGCTACAGCTGAGTCAAAGGGAAATGAGATGGTGAGTATCGTTCAATATCTGAAGAGACTGTATTGACATCAGGCGGCTTCAACTAAAGGGGAAAAGGCTTGAGCCGGGAATCTCTGTCGGAATGTGACCTCTAATCACCCAAAACGGCAACAAGCTCCTTTTCAAGCCGCCTTTTTCCAGTTGAGGAAAGGCAGGTTTCTGGACACAGACAGTGAAGATTAGCTGGAAAATAACAAGCCAGGCTGCTTACACGTAGGGATCTACCAGCTCCTCTGTGACGTAGTTGAGGAAATTCCAGCCTCCATAGGCGAACGAGCCTTGTAGGAACGCCAAGGCTATCAAACCCACGTCGTAGTCCTGGAAGGGCTCGAAGGCATTGTCCGGCTCCAGCCAGTAGTAGTCTCCTACAGGTGGAGCAGGATAGGAAACGTAAATCAATCTTGACCTCAGAGCAGCAGTTATGGTACATTGTTTAGTGACATGCTGCCATATCTGCGTTAAATTACAATGAACCACATGTTGTGGGGTATGTTGATCATTTATGTCTGGTTATATAAACTTGTTTTGCTGAAGGGGTAAACAGGCTGGGTTTTTTTTTTTTATTACTGTTCTGGCTTGTGAGGAGCTCCAGCTGAAAACCATCACCTAACAAGATCAGCGTGTGTGTAAAATGTGTTGTACAACAATCCCTCATCAAGTATTCCTCGTAAAGCAAAGGCAAAAGCGAGGCAATCGTTAAAATATTCTCGTGCTGAAATACGTGTGAAGCGAGATCCTGATTGAATTAAAATAAATCCGTCCCATCGTGTCTCAGATATCTGGCCTTTTGCACGCTTACGCAGCCACAAACCTCAAAGTATCTTAGTGGGATTTTATGTGACAGATCAACCCACAACGTAATTAAGAAATGAAAGCAACACGATGCACTGATTTCCTTTATTTTACAAATAAAACTCCTAAAAGTCAACACTTTTGTAGAACCACTGTTATTCTGGTAACCGTTTCTACCTGCAATGCACATCTGGAAGTCACATTTTTGTTTATTCTTCTTTACAAACTGACACAAACTCAGTCAGAGAGGATGGAGAGTATCAATTAGTAAGCGCTTTATTACTTCTCATCTCGCCATTGTCGTCTCATACCGGGTTCCAGTTTCACCACAGGTAAAATTTCAGGGAAACTTAGAGCAACGTCTCGCAGTGCTGTTCATGGCCTTCTTGAAACATAAATAAGAAAAAAAAGGAACAACTGTCAGTATGAGTGAAGGGGCAGAAACTGCATATGCCAGTTTCTGCAAGGTCAAAATGTATAACCTTGAGACAACAACCTGCATCAGAAATCATGTGGGCCAGGAAGTAAAGCTTCCTTCACAACTGACTCTGACCGGTTTTCTTATCCCCCTGAAGTACCGGGTTTCTTGATGGGAATGTGTATTCAGGGTGATGTTCACAGTTTTTCGTATTCAGGCCAAAAACTGCAAATATTTATTTATTTTTCTGACTAGAAAAAGTTCTTCCACATAGTCATTGTGTCAATTTGGACTGTGGGAACCTGGAGACAGGACTTCTCATTTCCACAGGCTACAGTATACAGAGTGGATTGTTTCTTATCTGTCCCATCAACATATTCTCTGTTTTTGTTGAATCCCTTTAAGAGGCAACTTGTTCTACCGGAACAAAGACCGAGTTGAATTTGTGACCAGGTTCCACCATTAATTCGATTCAGGTGTGTTCGACCACTGAAAACATGCAGGCTGACGTCAGGCTGCATGTTTTCAGTGGTTTAATTTAATGTTTTCTTTCTACTTCATTGTAAGGAAGGCAGAGAGAATCCCATAATGTATTCAGGAGTTTATGCAGGTAACGTATAAAGATGTGGAAAGTTAAAGCGGTGTGAATCCTTTCTCTACATCGTTCCTCATTTAGGTTGCTCAATCTTACAACAAATTGCCCAACGTTCTCGACAAACTTTCAACACTTTGGGCACTGAAATGGCTCACTCTGATATTTCAGACTGTCCTTACAATCACTGGCCCTGATTCATGTTTGGAGGACAAACCCCCACACTGGTGCTGACTTTAGCTGTATGGGTTTTAACCTAAAGGACCCGAGCAACTCGTCAACCCCAGTTTGATCCACTATACGGCCCGGAGTCTCCCAGGACGACCCCTCTGACCGCGGACATGTGCGGACGGGTTTCAGGTGTCATTTTATGCACTCTGTGACTGTAGGTCCTCTGTTGAGCACAGATGGCAGCGGCAAGCTCACCCTTGCAGATCTGAACGATTCCCATGATGATGATTAAGGCGAGGGCCAGCAGTTTGCCGGCTGTAAAGATGTCCTGCACTCTGGTGGCCCATCGCACGCTGGAGCAGTTCACCCAGGTCAGCAGCACTAAACAAAAACAAAGGAAAGCAAAAATGAACACAAGCAGTAAAATGTTGTGTTTAGGATGAAATCTTCATTCTTATGCATAATATTAACCCTTTTTTGGGACTTGAAAATAATTACCTTATTGTTGTAGATTAATCCCAATAAAACTTTTGCTTTAAATGTTTTTTTCTGTGTGTACCTTCTTTCTCCTAGCTGTCAGCCAGGAGGCCTACGTATATCACAAATGCCCGTTGATGCATATTCAACACATACCAAGGTTTCCCCCAGAAAACTTGGTCACTGGGTGCTATGGCAGTCATTCATCCAGCGGCCAGTCATGTTTTTGAGTTAAATTTGACAAAAAATTTGAAAACATCACTTGATAATTGTGCATTATTAGAAGACTGGAAGATTAATTAATACCTATACCAACTATAAAGTCTTATAAAAATCCAAAAACATTTTGAAAACTTTAATATATAAGCAATGTTTAGCCTGGTGAGGGCACAAGTAAAGCCTGGTGGCCCGCGAGGCTTATAATCCACTGAGGGAAACCGAGACATACCGTATCAAGAATCATCTTAAAGTGTCTGCTGAATGGTGCTTGAATTCATGCTCAGTTATGCCTAATTGAGCTAATATTTATTTGACTGTTCAGTGTTTTGAATCCAAAAGTTAAATTTTAGCCTCATCAGACCACAGAACACAGTTCCAGTTTAAGTCCCAGAAGAGTGGTACAGATTCCACCTGTTAACGTTTGTGATGGTAGGTCCCTGCCATCCCTCTCATCAATTAATGAAAGCACTGTATAAGTGAGAAAACCATCTGTCACAATAAAATTTTTCCAGAGCCGTCAATAAATGCGGAGGGAGATGAAGACGAGCTTTGTGATTAACGGTTGTATTATATTCAGGATGAAACTCTGGAAACATGTTTCAACTGACTTTAAATTAGAGTTTAAGTGATACAAAGTAAAATTATATTGCTCTGTTTTGTAAAAGTTCACAGTAGTCCAGTGAAGAGCCATATGTTGCTCACCTTTCTGAGACTTTTAGCCAGCATTTCTCTACACAGAGAACAAAGCTGGATTTGTTGCATGCTGCTGAGTTAAACAGGCCATTGGGTTTGAACCAACAGGGTGCCATTAAATAAGAGGGCCTGCTTGGATTAAGTTCATCACTTTAAATAACTCTGAAGCTGCCGCTGCAGGAAACAAAGACACACAGGCAGACATGGGCGATCCAGACTCATAAGAGGCCGGATCGCCTCTATGAGGCTCCGAGTGTGGGACTTTAACTGTGAGGGTATTTTCCTCTACAAATAAAATTACAGCTGTGGCTAAAGAAAAAGGCCAGTGAGGCCAGCTTATGGCTGACAGGCAAGGGAAGTAAAAGCACAACTTAGTAATTCTCAAGCAGGCCTAATTAAAGTAAGTACAGGCTAACCCTTTCAGTCCACAACTTGTAAACACAGTTGTTGATTTGCTGCTCCCACAGTGGATGTAATAGGCATCCACCTTCTCTGTCGCCGTATAAACGCGAAGACAAGCGTTTAAGCATGGAGCTGAGTGTAGGTTTAGTTGAAAAGAAGAGCATGTTGAGCAAGTTAACTGTGAACAACAGGAGAGAAACAAAATGAAGCAACGTGCCAGTAAGACCACAATGGACTGTGTCCTAGTCAAAGCTGGACACTGGTCGCATTCAGATGGTGTGTGACTTCAGCAGAAAGCAAACTTTACTCTTCCTGATGTCGCAGCTTCTCCCTGAATGTATTTCAGCCAAAAGTGTTCAACTTTTTTCCTAATGTGTTCTTCGCCTAATGAGTAAAGCAGCTTTTGTGTTTATGTTTTCCTCTGGAACTCAACGTAAACAGGAAAGATTACTAATAAGTCACAACCAAACATTTTCCAAACAAACATTTTCGACTCAAACACGCACTACAAATGGATAAAAATCAGCCTGTTTCTCTCTCTCTCTCTTGGCAGCAGTCCAACTAGTGTTGTGCTGCTGCTTTTAAAAAGGTTTCGACGAGTTTAAAACGTAGCATTTCATAAAGTCCTGCTCAACGAAACCTAAGAACCTTTGCTATGAATAAACGGTGACACGTTTCTGAGCTGCTTTAACTGTCGCTCAGTGTTGGATAGCATGTCTCTGAATAGATCATGAAGGATGAATAAATAACGTTGCAGCTGGTTAAATTTGGGCAACTGCAGACATGCAGAAACAGGCCGAGGTGAACGGATGCAAACATCGGTGACACAGCGGTTCACCGAGAGCATCCAGCCTCTCACCTACTTTTGCTCTAAACAACAAGAGCAGACAGACAGGAGGGAAAACATCCCTGACACAAGACTCGGGTTTTGTTTTTTTTATAATCGTTTTTTTTTTTTTGTTAAAAATCAGCTTTACAAGATCTGTCCCAGAGAAAAGAAGTAAAATTAAATTCAAGATATCCCAGGGTAATTTGCTACACAACTTGACACATTTTTTAATGAAGGAGTTCAAAAATGGAACAAGACATTCAACTAAATGTAGGTCAATGTGTCATGAGTGTAAAAAGGTACAAAGTGTTCAGACGGTGCAGATTCTGCTGAGTCGGGTGTTTTTCTCTTAGAGCAATTAGTCCCACTGGATACGTCCTTTCCCTCTGTGTGATTCTTTTTTTAGATTTAACCACAAAGCTTGGCTGAGAAAGTTTTTAGGGTTTTATAAAAGTATTATTTATAGACCATCACAGTTGTTTGAGAGAAAACCGATCCTGCCTTGGAAAGTCACTTTTCCTTCAAAAGCAAGCTTTAAGGTTTTCATTATTGTGAACATTTTATGCATCGAATTAGAAATAAAAGAATTCCCTAAAATGAAAATGATACAAACTTGGACAAGTGGATTAAAAATATTTGAATTATTATTTGTTTTTAAGTGGCAATAAGTTTATTTAAACAATTAGACGTTGGTCGGGTTCGGTGTCGACTCCTTTCTATTTCCTATTTCTTGAGCTCAGACTCTGCATTATTTGTAATTATTTGGAAGCCAAGAAGTTTCCAAATAATTGCCTTTATCCTATAAATAGAATTATTAAAATTAGACACTGCTGCTGCATGGTTTAAATAACTAAACTGAACATTTTCTGAATATATATTTTTTTGTTGTTTAAATTCTCTTCAATAAAACTATTGCCATGTTTGTAAAAAAAAAAAAGAGTGTAAAGAATAAAAATAATAAAAATAAATAGAAACATTTTAATTTGAAATACAAATACAAATACTTTTACTTTTCTCACTTTCACCGTAAATTTGTTTGCAAACTCAGACGACTCGCCTTCATTTGGTAAATTTCACTTTGAGGTTCACAACTACAAAAAGCTAAATGGGGCATGAATGGATCTCCTCTGCATACTTAACTTTTCTGCCAGTTCTAAAGTTTTAATGCATCCAGGAAAAAAACACTTCACCCGCAGGAAAAACTGGAAACAACAAAAAAACTCCCAAGTCTTCACCTTGAAAGCAAGCAGAGGTTTCTGAGCTGCGTGAAAACGAGCTCCAGTTTTTCCAGTTGCACTCGCTCCTGTTTTCCTGTAGGCGGAACGAGAACCAGAGTCTGACCTGACGCTTTATAAATCTGCTTTGGAGAATTCACTCCAAGCCAAATGCATTATAAAGACAAAAGAAAAACCAAAACGATCATTTACATTTGGATAGAAAGATCCCCATGAACAGGCAGCCACAAATCACGCGACAATGAAAACAATCCGCTCTCTTTGAAGCATTCACGCCCGTCTCTCTCTCTCTCTCTCTCTGTGTGTGTGTGTGTGTGTAGGCCGCCTGCGGTATTTGACTCATGTCTGTGAAATGATGAGGACCTTCAATCAAACACGAAATGGTTTGTTTACATGTAAGAGGAGGCTGGGACGAATTGAAAACAACATGGTCTCATGCAGCGTGCTCCTCACATGTTGGCGTTTCAGGGGATAAAAGGAGCTTCATGTTCGAGATCTCGACCAAAGAAAATGGTTGATCCTCATGATCTGTTGCTTTGTTCAATTTGACGGAGTCTAAAACAAGTTGTTCTGATTGGGTCACTCTGACGGCTAAACCAAGAGCTCATTAGGACTAAATCACAAAATCCAGCTTATTAGCAGAAGTAGAGCAAAGCGTCTCTCTGGACATTTGAAATAAAGAGTCTGAGCTCAAGAAATAGGAAATAGAAATGAGTCGACACCGAACCCGACCAACGTCTGACCATTTAGTTGACCATCTGCCTTCATTTTCATGCTAAAAGCTCTTTGAGTTTCAAATATTCCTTTATGTCTGTAAAACCGTGTTATCTTGTTTTTTTTGTTTTACTTCTTTCTTTTTCTACATTTTTCTTTGTCCACGGTGGTTGTTGCATAAATTGTATCGACCACTTCCCTGCCCTCACTACTGCAACAGAATTTATGCAGCCCCTTCCACCCTTTTTCTGATGCCGCCCTGGGTGACTGCCAGCACACCGCATGAAAGCAGCAGAAGGTTTTCTCGTCGCAGTAGATTTCACTCGTCGTTTACCAAACATGTTTGTTACTCACAGAGACAGATGCCAGCCAGCAGCCTCAGGCCGTTCTCCGGCGGGAAGCAGGTGGGGAACAGAGGCTGGAGGACGTAGTTGGAGAACGTCAGGGCGATCACAGCCTGGTTGGTGGGATAGATGACCAGCACGGCGATCCACAACCGGAGGAACCTAGAAAGCCAAGACACGCAGCAATAAAGACACAAATGCAACACAGGGATGTTATTTAGGGTATTGTGTTCTTATGCTTTGTTTTGACTCCGCCGATTCACTAATAGAACAAAACAAAGACAATTAAGACAGGGAGGCTTAAATGAAATAAATAAACCGTTGTACATGGATGTAGTTATGAGAACTCTGAGAAGAAACGCAACAGGGAAATCCCATGTTGTAACACTCTAAGCTGTTTGTTGTTCTGACCAGCTTCATTGTAGTCAGCCGAGACTTCCTCCCATTTTTGTTTCTCACTGGTGAAGTGAAACAGCGGCCGAGGTCACCTCAGGTCGCTGCTGCTTCTCACTGTGTGTTTCACAAGAGCCAAGGAAATTTACCGGCACACGTAAACGCCTCACCACAAACAAATCAGCGCCTTATAGAAACCAGAGCAGACAGGAGAAGACGTTCATTAGTCCTCTGACAAACAGCAAACCAGCAGAATATGGATTCAGATAAGAACGAGAGCAAAGCTAACCGAGGAACAAAGCAGAGGAAGCAAACAGTGACACTCTGACTGATTAAAAGAGCTTAGATGAAGGACAGAAGAACGTTTAACACAGTTCAACAGGACAAACCAGGAATGTTACGCTTCCATAAAATTCCCTAAAAGCTCATGCTGGAGTCGTTACACCTGTGACGACCCCAGCATGACGTGACTTCAGCCCACTGGAACGTCCTCAGCAACCAGCGCTGATAAAAGACACTGAGACTTAAAAAATGTACATTACAACTTGTTTGTTTTAATGTACATTTTGTTCTGTTTTTTACAGCTTTGCCTCAACTCTTTGTTCAGAAACACGATAAAGTCTGTTTTCACACTGAATAAGTTAAAGCTCATGCTAAATATCTTTTGAAATAAACATTTTAAGCAAAGGTGGCTTTCTACATTGTAAACTGAGCCAAGTTATTTGTTTTTATGATGTTTTTTTAAAATCCTGTAAATAGGAAAGTACCGAGGGATTCTTCTTTGAAATAATTCACAAAGTGGAAAAATATTAGAAATTAGACAAATAGCTACACAAATGAAAACATTTGGGACACATTTGCATTCACTCTTAGCCATGCATCTGATTTAGACTGTAATACAAATAATGAGAAAAACAATATCAAGAAGGAAAACCTTGCAGAAACTGGGGATGATGTATATATTTTTTACACACAGATAAGTGTAACACAAAACCCAGTCTTTAAAAACCTTTTTAGAAATGAAGTACTTCAGAAGTGAAGTATTTTTCCACAGGTATTTTTAATATTAAGATATATGTATTTCATAGAATGATATCATGATTCAGTAAAAGACACCAGCGTAAACTGTAGACAATAAGAATCCTGAGATATTTAGACAAAAGCGTTATGTGAAAAGTGCCTCGAATAATTTGAAATCAGATTAAACTAGTTTTATTTTCTGTTTAAAATAAATCGCAGACTGACAAAGTATTATCTCAGATCATTCAAATTAACTTTCTAAGGTATTTTAATGCAGGCTCCATGTTTTAATACTGCAGAAATATTCACACTCATTTTCACATTTTCACAAATTCAAAATATTTCAGACAGATTTTCGACGAGAGCAACAAAGAGCGATGCATGATGGATGATTTTCTCCAAATAGAAATCTAAAACAGTGTGTTTTATATTTTTATTTTGCTGAATTCGCTGCAGTCTAGACGCCTCCACTGTGCTTCTGGCTTTACATTCAGGTTTGTCCTTCTGAAAGCCGAATCTCTGCAGAGCTACCGTGGATTCTCTCTCCCTGCCCTTTAGGGGTTTCGAATTGAAGGGAGCTGAATACAAACACTCACTTTCTACACCTCACCTGAAGTTAAACAAGCCTCAGTGGAATAACAATGTTTCTTTTTTTCTGAGCATTTGTCCACTATAAAAACTACGCTTGGCCCGGCTGCAGAGACCAGGAGGATGGGACCTCCTCAGCCTCCTCACACGAACACGGAGACACACCTTCGACCCGGACCCACCTGCACATGCTGCACGTGAACACACAGGGACAAAAGCTGCAGCAGAAAACAAACAATCACCACTGGAGCTCAGTTTATTTATGTCAAAGAGGGGGGTTACGGAGAAACACTTCAAACCGCGCTTCTGACGCCATAAGCTACAAAGTCTTTGTAGCTCATTGATGTGTATTGATTCTCACGCTACGAAAATAATCGGTGGCTGTTATGTCTGGTCAAATTCCTTCCCGATACTATGGGTTCCTGGGTCAGTTGGAGGCACAACAATGCTTGGATGGGTGTTTACAGTCCGGTCCCAGGAAGAAATCCACTTCAACAAGCCGCACCGTTTTGTAACGTTGTTTATGCACGATTCAGTCATCTGTACTTACATCCTTCCCCAACTCTGATCCTCAGGTAGAGTCCCACCATTTTACTTTGAAGTGTCGAGCGTCTAAAGCAACCTTTGGTTTGAGGAACGACATTCCGCAGCCAGGATTGCTTTGCATTGTGGGATGCAGTAAACAAACTATAAAAACCCCAGCAGCACGTCTTTTCCGTAAAGCATAAGGTCCGGCATGACTTTGAAGATGTTTTCTCCTAAATTCATTTATCACATTGAATTTTCTTAATAGTGACCAGAAACACACACGGCTTCTGCTTCCTGTGTTCATATTTGGCACTCCCATTTGGTGAGACGTTTCTCTGACTTAACTACCCCTGGCACAGATTATTAAAATGTACAAATGCTTCGTAGTTATCAGAGGTGGTTTTGTTTTGACCTCTGACCTACCAGGAATCCCGACTAGAAATTCCATTAATCTATGTTTTAGAAAATCTCTAAAACATCCTGTTCATGATTCATTACCAAACTTTTTTTTTAAGTCAAGTTTATTTTTTTTACAGTGCGGGGTTAAGGTAGCCTATAGATAAATCGATTCCAGATTTCATAAAAAGAAAAAAAGTGAAATAGTTTTAAATTTTGTCCCGAACATGTCTTAAATAAAAGATTGCTAAAGGTTTAGCGGACGTGGCCTTTTCTTTTCTCTTCTTTCCATGTCTCTTCTTTTCTTTTCTGCTTTATTTTTCTTTTCTTTTTTGGCGCCCGCCAACACCAGATTATGACCCTTTTAGCTCAGGAGTGTCGAAGCAACAGAACGTCTAAAACGTGCAGGACTTCTGGGAAATTTCTGAGAAAATTTGTTTGATTTGTGTTGCTGTTTTGACTCGTTTTCCCTCCAGTGTCTGACCATTTTCAAACAGGAGCTGACTTGCAAATCTTTAAATCTTTAGCCACGTTAACAAGCTTGTCTGCCACAAACTTGTCCTCATCACTCAGGTAAGACTAATGGAAAACACTGGCATAGCACACTGTGACGACAGACTTTAGAACTATTAAATGAAACAGCTGGTCAGCAAATAAGTAGTGTGTATTTCAGGCCTTGTGTCAGGGCTTTGATTTATTTAGGACCGGACTTTCACATGTAAAGTGTACGCAGTTTTTACGCCGCGGACATCTTGTTTTGAGAATGGATCCAAAGTCCAAAACAAATGCTGAAAGGCTGTGAAAAGGAGAGAGAGAGCTAATCGATCCCAACGTTCTTGAACCTTTCCTCGCCTCCACCTTTCACTGTAACGCGTAAATGTCACTGGACAGCGACGTATGGATGTCTGAGTGCGCACGGTTACCCTGCCAGGCCCCCGAATATGTCCTTCACGTAGGAGTAGTCGCCCCCGGATTTGGGAATGGTGACGCCCAGCTCTGCGTAGCACAGCGCTCCGATGGCGGTGATGATGCCCGTGATGATCCAGACGATCAAGGCCACGCCCACAGAGCTGGCGTTCTCCATCACTCCCTTCGGACTGACGAAGATTCCCGAGCCGATGATGTTACCTGGTGGGGAGAGGAGCCAGGTTTCAGTGCAGGTTTGACAAGAATAGACTTTTTTTTTCAGCTAAGTGCCGCTTCAAAAATGTTCATCTCTAACTTCTCATTTGCCGGTCACTTGCTTTCACATTTTTTCTTAATTTTTTTAAATAAATCGCTTCATTTGCCACAGTAGCAGACATCAGCTGAAAGTTACAGAAAAGCAAAATCAAGCTGTGGATTCTCAGACTTAAACGGAAGAGAGTTAAAAAAACAAAAAACAAAAAAAAACAGGGGATGTGTTATGCTGACTGAGCAGAGATGTGTGAACGACAGAAAGCAGGGGTGAACGAGTGCAAAGAGGGATTAAAGGTGGACGCAGAACATCCTGACAGAACGTCAAAGCGACGTTTTCGCCAGAGGTGGGAGGGAGCGCTGATTGGCCGACATGAAAACCTGCCACACAGCCACTGGACGTGAAGGAACGTCCAGCGGGGGACATCCAGGATTTACTGGACATTCAGGATTTACTGGACATTGACTGGAATGTCACTCTGCCTCAGGCAGCGAGAAGTCAAAGATCGCTGGGGTTGAATCCCAACGAGCCGGATGATTGGCTGAACGGCCACAGCAGTTCAAAAGTCAGAGTTATCTTGATGGTGTCACATTGTTGATCTCTTGTCACTCCTGCCCATAAAGTGCAGTAAACTATTTAACCTATTAGTGCCAGAGAAAAACAGCCATACAAAATTATATCTTCTTGGTTAAAAGTGTCTAGACAGATAAAATGAGCGATTTAAAGATTTTATTGGTAACGTTACAGATAAGGCTTTACCATCAGTAAAGTTTGAAGATGTAGATAAGAATGAGGTCACCTGCCTGATTGTAAAGAGAACAAAAAGCTCTCACTTCCCTTGATTATCCTGACATATTTATAAGAGGGCAGGCCTGCAGTGCTTGACCTTTGACACCTCAAGGAGAAGAAAAAATGTGCTAACTCATCTCACGGTTTTGCGGCTCCAGCCGTCTCTGATTTGTTTCTTCCAAAGACAAACGTTGGTTGAGTTTGTCCTGAATGGACTGACTCTGCAAGACGTGCCGTAGAAGTGATCGCGTCTGCATGCTGTGCGTCCAACGGTCATGTGCAGCTCTGCACAGACGTGAGCCAAACTGCTGACTGTTAGGGAATCACGGCGTTTCCTGTTCCCATTTCAACTTCTCTCTTTTTTAAAATTATTTTTATTTTTTTTGGTTAAAGCAGCTCCCAACCAGCTGGCTGTGTCTCGACTTTAACTGAACACAGTTCAAGTCCGCTTTAAGAAGCAGAAGGTTAGCAAAGAAAAACGTCTAGATTACTTGCTTTCAGGAATATTAGAGTTCCTCTTTCCACAAAGAGCAGCAGGACGTCGTTTCACACATTTTATTATCCACTTTTTAAATTTTTTTTATGACTGCTGTTTGCCAGAAGAAGAGCACATATCTGCTTCTGGTGAACTTTGGTTTTCTTTATGGCTGCAACAAGAGGGACACTATCACAGCGCCAGTTTTAGAGCCGCATTTAAAACAAATGAACGATAAAGGAAACTTGACTTATTTGTAGGTTAAGAGAAGAAAAATAAACAATTATATCGCTATGAAGGAATCTTGTAGGGATTATGAAAATTTCAGAGGAATTTTAGTAAAAATTTGCTGTAGAAATTCACTAAAATGAAGAATCTGCACGTTGACGTGCAAAACAATTTAACTAAACTGTTTATTCCTCAGTGAAGCTATGACACCCGAGAGAAATGAAACTCAGTGTGGACTTTTTGTCAAGGCCTCCCAGCCAAAAATCATTTCTACCTTCATCACTGTGTGTTTGTGCAGCTTGGTGACTGAACTCTTATCTAATCAGCTAATATCAAACACACTCGGATTGATTCTTGCTGAACTCCCCTCAGCAGCAAGACGACAGAGAAACCTCAGCCTTGGGAACGACGGTGGGCGAGAACTGGCACGTTGGTTTTACAAAACGCTTTTGCATCTTGTGGCTGTAAAGGGCGCCAGAGTTCAGCGGGGCACAGCAAAACCACCGGAGTGAGTAAAACAGCGTTATCAGGGCGGAGTCCTCTGACGTGACCAAAAGTTCACTTGCAATCTGCGCTCCGCGACGCTGCGCGTTGCTGGATTACCTGATAGATAAACGCACACGGCGAACCATAAAAGAAGCGTTTGAAGTTCACCTTTTCATGCATCTTCCACGTCACCTTAGCTCATGTGACGACCAATGGATTACTTTGCTGAAGGACAGAGTGGTTGGTCCTTCTGTGGCCCTTCAGATGAGAGATGAACAAAGTGATGCAGCAGCGCCGATACCAACAATGGGTGGAGCTGATGCTTTAATAAATGCACGTGGACGCGCTGTTATCTCTTGTTAAAAATATTTGTAATGACTCTGATGCTGTTTGCTCTCATAAACTCTCCCGTGTCCGCTGCGCCAGGCGCATTAAGGAGCCTGAGAGAAATCCCTTTTTTATTGTCGCTGCATAATCTCACGCCTAAAATAATAATAATAATAGTGACAATAAAAACTGAATAAGAGACTGCTTAGGGCACGTGTGCCAAACTCGAGGCGCGCAGGCCAAATCCGGCCCACCGCAGCTATTTCTGTGGGCCGCAGGAATATATCTGCAAGTCAACAGCTGCGTGCTTAGATGTTATTTCATCGGCCAAGTCACAGCAGCAGAAGATAATTCTCTTAATGCCGGGTGTTCACTTGTTTTCACAAAGAGAAATCTTCCTCTCTGCACAACCTTGTTGAACGATTTCCTATTTTCTGCAGGGCGTGGCTCTGATCACTGCAGCAGCCAAGGCAGAAGCTGAACCATTTCTTGAACCATTTCCCTGTTGAGTTGCACATATTTTCTTAGTTTATTTGGCTTTTACCCAGAGATGATCGGTTCTCACATTTCCGGTGGAATCAGTGGGACATTTCAGAAAAGTTGTTAGAGAGAAGAGACCCACAGCATCTATGCTATACCGACTAATCTATTCTTTGCCTCACTCCATTTTCGTTGTTTAGAGTTTCTTGCATGGCTTGCTATATTTATCTACGCCTTTTCTGGTTCACTGTAAGAAAAAGTGGCAAAAGTCTGACAGTTTTTTTTTTGCCTAAATTTGAACCGGCTCTGATTTTTATTGCCTGTCTAAAATGCAATTTTTCTAGTCAGATCCATATGTCTGATCCTAAATTGGATACGTATCTGTCTTACTCCCTGTGGCATTTCAAACCATTTCATTGGTGAATTGGTTGCCGTCTGAAAGGTGAACTTGTGAAGGAACATTTTGATCATGTGAAATTGTTGCGATTGAATTAAATCAACTGAATAAAAAGAAAAGGCAACCAAAAGGTGAGATACAAACAAAAAAGCAATTTTAAGAGCGGTGGTGAGAAACAAACAAGCCTGGTGGATTTTTGGGTTAAATGATCCTGAGATGAGAATTTGTGTTTGACAGTCAGTGTGTTTGGTCAAACCAAAAGGAGAAGGTTTGTCTTGCAGGCTGCTCCACACATTAACCATCCACTCAATAAGCAGTGACTGGATTTAAACCTCCATGTTGCTTTCCATGTCTTTCTATCCGTTCTCCACTTCTCTCGTTCTTCCCCTGTCGGCAAACCTCCTGGGAGGACACTGTGCCGTTCGCACTCTCGCCATCACCTTAACTCCCTCCCTCGCTCGCTCTCCTCTCGTTACCTTGGAAACACACAGATGAGTCACCCCCGCCTCGCTCCGTCTGGACATCCTGCAGCATGTTTAGGCCCACTAGTCGGTATTGATCAGGCTGATGGGGTTATCTTTACATGTTTGCCCTCTGGATTGTTTCGGTCTGACTGACCTCAGTTCATCACCCTCTCTCTGTCATTAGACCGTCTCTGTGCTAAGTAAGGCTGAGTGACGAAGCTAATGGTGCCAGGAAAGTTTCAGAGATTGCTTTATTTCTTAAATTTTGCTATGAAATATGTGCTGAAACGTCCGCTCGCTCGTTTTGATCGCACTTTGGCAGCAAAAGGTTGCAGGAAAACAATCAAAATGCTAAATGGCACAAAGCGGATCAATTTGACAACCATTAACCAGGCCGAGTTTACTCTCTGTGGCCCACAGTGCCATGCAAAAAATGTCTGAACACGTCAAATTTTCGCACATTTTGTCATGTGATTTAACCTTAGCGTCGATCCAGCTGTTCTGTGAAAGTCTCAAAGGTTTGTTGGAGAATCTTTGTGAACAAGCGGCAAACAAATCATGGAGAGGTGGAGAAAATTAAAGCACTTTCACCAACTGAAAATGATGACGAAATCACCTGATAAAATTGTTTTTATCAGGTGATGAAATCATTTTCATCATCCATTTTCAGATGATTTCGTCATCTGAAAATGGAAAGAAGATAGCAACTGAAAGTTGTGTGTGTTTCTGCACAACTCCAGACACACAAAGGGAGAATCGGTTGGCGGGGAACACTCGTTAAGTCTGCAGATGTGGAGAAGTTGGAAAGCTTTGTTGAACTGCAGAGAGAAGTCAACGGGAAGTCCTCTGTGTCCATACACAGATGGAAGATTCAGAAGAAGATCGGCATACAGAACAACATGAGTTGCCGTGTCAATGACGGGACAGGGGGGTGGCAGTACCATGCCGGGGGCAGGGAGGAGGGATGGGGGTCTAACTTAAAGCTGATGTCCACACAAATATGATCCATATACAGTCTGACGTTTGGCAAAGAAAAAAGGGCAAAAAATTCAGCCTCAAGTTGTGCAAACAGACTTTTTAAGCCAACCAGTCATGCGCCTCTAAAAACTTCCTTGGGTTGACAAAAATCCTGAGCAGCAGAGTGAGTGAGTGAGTGAGTGAGTGAGTGAGTGAGTGAGTGAGTGAGTGAGTGAGTGAGTGAGTGAGTGAGTGAGTGAGTGCACTCTCATTGAAGGCAGATAAAAGTTTTAGTGATAAAAAGTGAAGGTTTCAGATAAATCTAACAGCATGGATCCCCTCCTAGACTACAGGCTTTACATTTTTATAAGCGTGAGTCAACGAGGAGCATAGTATACACACAGTATACACACACTATGCACACAGTATACACACACTATGCACACAGTATGCACACAGTATACACACAGTATGCACACAGTACACAGACCAAGGGTGTAATAAACAGAAGGAGTCACTCACCAACTATGATCCCACATGCGCTCACGAGTCCGATCTCCTTCTTGAGCGCAACTCCTCCAGACTCCTTCTCAGCGGCCGCATCCTTGGCAGAGCCCGCCGTGCTGCTCCGTTGTCTTGCTCCGTCCGTCATCTTGATTCACTTATATATAGCTATTATTAGTATTTTTTTTTAAATTGCTGTCCAAGTTGCCTCGTCTCTTTCCTCCGCACGGCACCTGATGCTTGCCCCACTGCGCGTCAATCGCCTTGTGCGCACGTCCCCCCTGCGCACAGGACAATGTTCACTGAAACGAGCCGCACTTTATCTGATGAGGAGGGATTGCCTGTTTTTTTTTTTTTTTTTTTTTTTTTTTTTCTGGCGATGTCAGCAGCTTTTGAGGAGGGGTTGTAAACTAAATAAAATCTGTATTTTTTTTTAAAGGATTTTAGGAATTAAGCCGCAAGCTTTCACAAAACAGCCCAGAAATCTGCTTTTATTTCCCCGGCTGGAGTGATTACGCACCGGCGTACAAGCACACATTCCGATTACCGTTGGATGATTTCGCGATTAGTAGCCTAATAAATATCTTTTTTTTCCCCCTTTTTTGTCTGAAGCTCTCACAGCGTCCTGGTCCCGGAGGTGAGAACAGGCGCGACCATCATCTGGAAACCAGCAGCAGCCTGGTCTTCTTCCCCCACTTCTTCTTTTTCTTCTTCTCCTGTCCTCCAGAGTTTCAGACAGGAGGACTTCTTGTGTTTTGGATTCACATCCATACTTTCCCCTCCATATAAAAACACTCCAGCACCGCCCCATGGCTGCCTCCTCCTGTCTGTTTTTCTTTTTCAGCTTCTTCAGGACCCTCCCTTTTTCTACATTTTCTTTTCCTCCCCTTCACCAGATCTGAATGAAGCACGCATACACACGCACGCACACGCACGCATACACACACATACACTCGCACACACACAACAAATAAACCAAAGCAGTTTTCTGGGCAGCAGCAGATCCTCACCTTGCAGTTGCTCTCTGTCTCAGTTCATCTCCTGTCCCACGTTTTGCCTCGCAGAGCCTCAGTTATTATTCAGGACGCAACGCGGCAGAAAGGCTGCTTCTAAATTTAGCCTTTTTTTTAATACAGACGTCACGACTCACTTTCCACGCTGCGTGGCTCGCCGACAGCCTCACTCGCTCCGTCCTGGCACAAGATACATTTGGTCAGAAAGTTGGAGCCCCGGTTCTCTGATCCAAGTTTCCCTGCAGTTGAATGATTATGTCAATCAGTTTTGATCAGTGCTGGGTTGACGCAGACCCATTTAAACACGGCGTAATAAAAAAAATAAATAAAATAAAATGCATCTCATTTCATGAGTTTGACATTAAAGTGAAATCCTAAAATATTACGCAAATTTCAGGAGTTTCTCCATGTGGTTTTACGATTCTGGTGTAGAGTCTCTCAAATAAATAAGTTGTTATACAAAATGTAAAAAAAAAAAGGCTTTAATACAAAAATATGAGCTGTTGAGCTGATTTTCTGAGGTTCAGGTTGGATTCGCTCAAATCTGCAGCTGTACCTTTTTCAGAACCACACTGTTTCCTTCCACTCAATTTTCCATCTATATGCTGAGATACAGCTCTGTCAAGCGCTCTGTCAAGAGCCAGCTTCTTTAGCATAATTCATTGTTTACCAAACAGCTGGCCTTAAAATAGCATTTCTGAATTACAATGTTTTCTTTTCTTTTCTTTTTTTTTGTCTCATGTCAGCTTTTTATTATCTCAGCAACAGTTTTGATTGGTTCAGCCACCAGAACTAAAAATACATGCTTGTAACATAAAATACATGCTTGTAACATAAAATACATGCTTGTAACATAAAATACATGCTTGTAACATAAAATACATGCTTGTAACATAAATTACATGCTTGTAACATAAAATACATGCTTGTAACATGGGCCTCACAGTAGGGCAGGGTGTTCCTTGAAGGTCCTGGTTCTGGATCCTGGTCTGTTCTCAGTTTGAAGTAAGTTACCACAAAAAAAAAAAAAAAAAAAAAAAATTTCAATTTCTCTAATTACTGAGATCCATTTGCATGTTGTCTGACTTCAGAGAGACATTAGGGGCATGCTTTCATCAAATCTCATTTTGACAGGTGCCACGCCCCTTTGACCCCTTTGACCTCCCTCCCTCCCTTTCGAATGTGACGACGTGCCCCCCCCCTCCTCCTCCTCCTCCTCTTCCTCCTCCTATTGATTTTTTCTTTTTTAAAGAGTAATACCAATACAACAACAGTTATTTAATCAAGAAAAATGTATATAATTATATACTATGCCTACTGAAGTTTAAATAGATTTGGAATGGAGATGTTACTTCTGATTCTGTGCCTGGCCTACGACTGGAGTCTGAGCTGGGGGCTTGATCAAATATAGGTACGGCCTGTGAAATCCCTTCGGGGGGTCGTTCTCAGTGACATATGGTCTGTGTGTTAGGTTTTTCTGTTTTCTCTCTGCTGAATTCAGAAAATGCCGTATATCTGACTTTCTTTTTAAGAGTAATACAGCACCCAACAACAGTTATTTAACCAAGTAAAATGTATAATTATATACTAAGCCTAGTGAAGTTGAAATAGATGCCGGAGATGTTGCTTCTGATTCTGTGCCTGTGTTCAGCCAGGCCTACAACTGGAGGTCTGAGCTGCGACACGCAGGGCCTGCGAGAGAAGGAATGTACTAGTTGCATACTTGCAAACTTTGCAGGATGCAGACAGAATGATAAATTAGCCACCTCGGGGATGGGAATTCAGAGCGATACAGAATGACAAATTAGCCACCTCGGGGGAATTCAGAGCAAGGCCCTCATGAACCCTAGCGGTTCATGAGGGCAGACCAGACCACATCTGGGTTTTTTTTTTTCTCAGTTTATCGCTCTTTGTCTAAAGAGTAATTACCTTCAGTTATCTGTGAGCGACACACGCTTCAGAGAGAATCAGAACTGCAGCATCAGTGAGAAGTCCGTCTTACTTTCGGTATAACATAATTCGAAAACTATTCTTTTCAGAGCGATAAATCCCCACCCGGACCTCATTGGGAGCATTCAGAGCGACATGGTTTCTCTGTTTTTCTCTCTGTTTATTTTTTTTAAGACAGAAGAAATGTTTAGAAACACCCGCTCTCCTCCTGTCATACAATATTACAACAGGCTTCAGATTTTTCACAAGTAAAGCTCCTCAGCTGCGCCGCAGCGGGTCAATGCAGAGGGGGGAGTGCTAATTGCCTTGTTGTGTGTCTGGGGCAGTCGTGAGGGAAAAAAAAAAGCCCCTGCCCCCTGCAAATACATACGTCTAAAGAAAACCTGCTATTTAACTACATTATTTATGGTAGCATGACTAGTTAGTACTGACTACAAGTTTGTGATTTCTTTCATGCTTTCTCCAAAATAGTAAATGCTGGTTAAACACATTTGAAACTCATAGATTTTTCTGTAACACTCACTAGTGTGATACATTTCAGTAAATGTTTCTCATTTGTACATGTACTTCTTAAGAATATGTGACTGTTTGTAAGCAGGCCAACGGGAGGTTATTCAAATTAAACTTTTAACTTTCCTTGGTTAAAGAATTTGTCCAGAATTTTCCAAAATTTATCCTCGCATCATTGTAAATGCTACTTTCGTTCAATTTTTTTTCCTGCTGCTGAATCAACACTGATCTTCCCAGAGCTTCATGCTTTCTCCAAAATAGTAAACGCCGGTATAAACACATTTGAAACTCATACATTTTTCTCTGTAACACTCGCTAGTGTGAAACATGTCAGTAAAAGTTTTCTCATTTGTAAATTTATTTCTTAAGAATATGTGACACTTATTAAACAGACCTTACTGAGACTACTCATATTTAAGTTTTAGCTTTCCTAGAGTTGAAAGTTTTTTTTTTCTCTCTTTCTTTCTTTATTTTTTTTAACACTGCACAACTACGCTCCGACATGGTAAATTATTTTGTTACCTTTATCATTATCCACTACTTTTGTCTCTAACTTATATGCTGTATGTTTCTCAGCCCAAATGATGCTTTTTTCCTCCATCCATCATTTTACACACTTGAGTGTGTTCAGTAACAAAATATAGTTGTTGAATTTTCCATTACTGAAGCTTATAAATGATCAATGTAAACTTTCAGTCTGTATTCAGATAGTGAATACAATTCCTATTATTTAGAGTTGATGCGTGCACTTGGATTTCTATCAATTTATTGAATGATGGTCTGCGTAAATATTTATCAAACTGAATGGCCATTCAGGTTTCATATAATTTTTTTATTTTGGTTTCTGTTGCACAACTTCAAATATATGCTGGCTATCAACCAACCATTCAATCAGTGATTTTTTTTCTTTTTTTTAAAATAACCCCTCTCACATCTTCTGACAACTAGCCCCAAGTTATAATAACATTAACTAAGTTTTGCTAATGGTGCACTTTACCTAAAAACAAATATTAAAAAAAAAAAACATACTCACTACACAGCCCCTTCTCCCAGAGCTGGTCACAACATGGTGATTGTTTTTTTTTTTTACCGTTAAAATTATCTACAGCTTTTGTTCCTTGCTTCTCATGATGCTATCTGTTCACTAATGTTCACTAATGTTCACCTCTTGTAAATGATAAGCTTATTAACGATCAATATGAACCATCAGCACGTGTTAAAGAAGATCATGAAAAATGTATTACATGGCATGCATTTGAAGCTTTAACCCAACACAGGGCAGGCTGTACACTTTGATGGAGGTATTGGTCTCTTTTAAGACCTGTTCCAGCATTTTTCATAGTTTTTTTTCCTTGTTATTTTTTTAGCTTAAAATCCTTCTGTTTTAGACTTTTTAGACTTTGTATACTGTATACTGGGAGAAGGGGCTGTGAAGTGAGTATGTTTTTTTTTTTTTAATATTTGTTTTTAGGTAAAGTGCACCATTAGCAAACTTAGTTAATGTTATTATAACTTGGGGCTAGTTGTCAGAAGATGTGAGAGGGGTTATTTTAAAAAAAAGAAAAAAAAAATCACTGATTGAATGGTTGGTTGATAGCCAGCATATATTTGAAGTTGTGCAACAGAAACCAAAATAAAAAAATTATATGAAACCTGAATGGCCATTCAGTTTGATAAATATTTACGCAGACCATCATTCAATAAATTGATAGAAATCCAAGTGCACGCATCAACTCTAAATAATAGGAATTGTATTCACTATCTGAATACAGACTGAAAGTTTACATTGATCATTTATAAGCTTCAGTAATGGAAAATTCAACAACTATATTTGTTACTGAACACACTCAAGTGTGTAAAATGATGGATGGAGGAAAAAAGCATCATTTGGGCTGAGAAACATACAGCATATAAGTTAGAGACAAAAGTAGTGGATAATGATAAAGGTAACAAAATAATTTACCATGTCGGAGCGTAGTTGTGCAGTGTTAAAAAAAATAAAGAAAGAAAGAGAGAAAAAAAAAACTTTCAACTCTAGGGAAAGCTAAAACTTAAATATGAGTAGTCTCAGTAAGGTCTGTTCAATAAGTGTCACATATTCTTAAGAAATAAATTTACAAATGAGAAACTTTTACTGACATGTTTCACACTAGCGAGTGTTACAGAGAAAAATGTATGAGTTTCAAATGTGTTTATACCGGCGTTTACTATTTTGGAGAAAGCATGAAGCTCTGGGAAGATCAGTGTTGATTCAGCAGCAGGAAAAAAAATTGAACGAAAGTAGCATTTACAATGATGCGAGGATAAATTTTGGAAAATTCTGGACAAATTCTTTAACCAAGGAAAGTTAAAAGTTTAATTTGAATAACCTCCCGTTGGCCTGCTTACAAACAGTCACATATTCTTAAGAAGTACATGTACAAATGAGAAACATTTACTGAAATGTATCACACTAGTGAGTGTTACAGAAAAATCTATGAGTTTCAAATGTGTTTAAACCGGCATTTACTATTTTGGAGAAAGCATGAAAGAAATCACAAACTTGTAGTCAGTACTAACTAGTCATGCTACCATAAATAATGTAGTTAAATAGCAGGTTTTCTTTAGACGTATGTATTTGCAGGGGGCAGGGGCTTTTTT